CGCAAATATAAATAGTAGCACGCAGCAGGATATCTGGTGCAATCGTGCGTTTTGTACAATTCCGTCCAGCGAACGATCGCCTGTTAATGATTTTTACTGCGTTGAACTTTGGTTTGTCCAAAAATAGTTGAAATGCTGAAAAATAGTTAAAAATTTCACGCATCGGAATGTGGAAGCGGAATTTGAAAACTTTCCAAAACTTCAATCTCCTAATTTTCTGGCTTTCGAATGATCTTTGAGAGAAAACTTTCAGGTGGTCGTAATTGAGATCTCGGCATGCTTAGGAACTGAATTCGAGTTTGTTAAGCCCCTGCTTAGGCAAGAAAAATCCGCCTGAAATTTTTAGCCCACTAACTCTTCTGGCTACCAAGATAATGATTTTTCTCGCCAAAACATTTAAGGGACGTTGAAAATTTGCGGAGTTTTACGCGGGCAGGGGATGCCACGATAAAATTCCAGCTTTTTAGCTTTTGCAGCTCACGAGATAATTTCCCTGACAAAACTTTTACGGAGCTGTACTTGGTACCCAGAGACGCGTGAAGACTGAATCCAAATTTGCGAAGGCTGCACGTTTATAGGAATATCATCCCAAAATTTCAGATTCCCAACTTCCGTGATTCCCGAGATAATAATTTTCCCCGCCGAAACTTTCACGAAGCCGTGTGTGATATCTGAGCGCGCAGGAATGCTGAATTTAGATATGCAAAATATTACGTGGGCAAGGGGGCGATTACCCTAAAACCACGCCCTCCTAGGTTTCGTGGCTTCTGAGATAATAATTTACCCGTCAAAATTTTCATGGGGCCACAGTTGATACCCGAGAGTACGGAAACGCTGAATTTGAATTTGCAGCGTCGTACATAGGCAGAGGGTCATTACCCTAAAATTTCAGCCTTCTAGCTTCTGTGGTTCCTGTGATAACCATTAGCGGCGCGCACTGGGCTGGCCCGTGCGATCATGCGTTTTTGCAACATTTCATGCTGTAATGAGATCGCTCGGAACCCAGTAGCTGGAAATGTGTGATATACTGGCCCTCGAAATCCGGAAAGTGTGGACGGGGAACAATTCGTTGAAATTTCAGTTTTCCAAATTTCCTGGTTCTTGAGTTAGTAATTTTCCTGCCAAAAATTTTCGCGGGGCCGTACGTGACACCACGTATGCCCGAGGGCTGAGTTTGATAAATTTAAGTCGTACATAGGCTGGGAACATTCCCTGAAAATTTTAG